TTTTTGAGGAACCTCCATACTGCTTTCCACAATGGTTGAACTAATTTACATTCCCACCAGCAGTGTAGGAGGGTTCCCCTTTCTCCACAGCCTCACTAACATTTGTTGTTGTTTGTCTTTTGGATGGTGGCAATCCTTACTTGTGTGAGGTGATATCTCATTGTGGTTTTAATTTGCATTTCTCTGATGACTAAGCGATGTGGAGCATCTTTTCACATGTCTGTTGGCCATCTGAATTTCTTCTTTGGAGAACTGTCTGTTCAGCAACTCTGCCCATTTTTTAATTGGATTGTTCACTTTTTGTTTGTTGAGGTGCATGAGCTCTTTATATATTTTGTATGTCAGCCCTTTATCGGATCTGTCATTTATGAATATATTCTCCCATACTGTAGGATACCTTTTTGTTCTATTGATGGTGTCCTTTGCTGTACAGAAGCTTTTCAGCTTGATATAGTCCTACTTGTTCATTTTTGCTTTTGTTTCCCTTGCCCGGGGAGATATGTTCATGAAGAAGTCAAGAGATTTTTCCCTATGTTTTTTTCTAAGAGTTTTATGGTTTCATGGCTTATTACATTTAGGTCTTTGATCCATTTCAAATTTACTTTTGTGTATGGGGATAGACAATGATCCAGTTTCATTCTCTTACATGTAGCTGTCCAGTTTTGCCAGCACCATCTGTTGAAGAGACTGTCATTTCCCCATTGTATGTCCATGGCTCCTTTATCCTATATTAATTGACCATATATGTTTGGGTTAATGTTTGGAGACTCTATTCTGTTCCACTGGTCTGTGGCTCTGTTCTTGTGCCAGTACCAAATTATCTTGAACACTGTGGCTTTGTAGTAGAACTTGAAGTTGGGGGGCGAGATCCCTCCCACTTTATTCTTCCTTCTCAGGATTGACAAAGCCACCTGTTTTTGTAGAGCACCCCAACACACCTGGTTGTTTAACGATGCTGAGGAATATTGATAAAGGGGGCTATAAAGTTGAGGTGAAATGGCCTCATATATTTAAGTAGCACCTTCCTCTGTGAACTTCTCAAGTGTTTTACAGCAGAGATTTGACTGACCTGTTGATTTTCTCTGTCAGGAATGTTGAACACATATCTCTAGACATGTTCAAGAAAAGCTATTATCAGGATGGCTAAGAACCAAAGGCTTTGGAGCCACACTGCGTGGGTTTATGTTCCAGCTTGTTCATTTTCTAGCTATTAAACATGACTATTCTGTTCTTCAATTTAATTACCTGCTAATCAGGAGATATTCATAGTACTTACTTACAGGAGTGTTTTGAGGACGAATATATGTAATGTGCTTAGGACAGTGCCTGGCATACTGTAAATGCAATATAAGTTTTCAGCTGCTTTCACCTTCGCTATGTATGTATCTCTCACACGTAAGGTAGGCGCCCACATTCATCTAAAAACATTCACAAGATGTTAATATTCTCAAAGAAACAGATGGACAATCGTACATTGGCCCACGAGTATTTGACAAAGCAAAAACTTCAGCCAGCCTTTTAGGAATCACAGATTGTGGGACCTAGAGAAACCTAAAAAATTATCTGGCTCCTCCTTTTCCCAGGAGGAGGGTCCCTACCACCTAAACATTCTGTTTGCAGCTGTGTTTGTGGGCAGATACAGACCTTGGGGTAGCCCTGCCGTCAGTAACTGAAGTGAGCCTCAGGTCTACCGAAAGGAGAGCTCTGGAAGGAGGCAAGGGCATCAGCATGGGCCTGGCACATAAGATGTGTGGACGAGCCCCAACCCCCACGAGGGAATGGGAAGAGCTGCAGAGGGATGAGCAATAAAAAAGGCCACCTGAGCAGGCCCTCCCGGGGTCCCAGTCACACTTATGTGAGATGAAACTGGTGACAAAGACAAACATCTGATTCCTTTCCTGCTTAGCAAGTTTCTGTAGATGACCATATCATTTGTGGTCCAAGCTGGAACAGTTCAAGAGTGAAAGATAATGCTATTAACGGTCATGTCAGGACATTGGTGTCAGCTGGGACACATGGCTAACCTTGTCCTGTGGGCCTGTGGCAGCACGTGCTTGACTGTCATTCTGTCTATTCAGTTTCTTTTCATCAGAGATGCTTCCTAAGAAGAGAGATTATTTTTAAGTCACTGATATTTTAGCACTTCTATGTTTATGCAAAGGGATGCCATTGATTTACCTTCCATAGAGGGAGGAGCCCCATTTTTGAACCTAGGACCTTATTCAATGCATACAGGTAAGAGGAGAGTGGGAGGGAGGCTCCATGATGGTTGGGTGGTTGTGCTTCAGGTATGTTTGTCATGACTTCGTTTCTTCTTTGAGAGAGCCGGTGTGCTTCACACTTACTCACCTGCATCCTGCACCCAGGTTGTGCCTACAGCATAGTAATGCTGTCAGGAACTCTGGCATCTATCAACCGTGACTGAGAACATCCATTTTTCTCAGACATGTGAATGTGGAAAAAGCAAGTGCTACAATTTGAAATCCAGGCCATTGAAATGGCTGGAGGAAGACCTCAAAGGAAGGAGCTTTTTCCCACCTGAAATACCTGCCCTTTTAGCCTTGAATTTGACTAAGTCTTTAATGGGTGAAAAAACCCCCAAACAAACAAGAAATACTTTTTTCCTGAATAGGTCAAAGTCAAGGTTTGCTCTTTGTTATTTCCAAAAAAAAAAAAAAGACAAGAAAGAAAATAAAAATGGCCCCCTGCCTGAGTGTACTTATATGTGCCTATTTAATGATTAATAATACCTTGTGGGCTATTGTTTGATGTGGCCTCTGCTGGTTTGAACAGGAAAACACTGATTCACTCTTCAGGCATTTATGAATCACAAGTGTTTACCTTGAGACAATAAATGAAAGGGGGAGATTAAAAAAAAAACACCCAAATATGCTGAGTTCTTTGAGTAAAAACTGGAGATAACATGGGATCTCAGCCTTTGATACGCTGTGTGGGGCCCATAGCGTTCTCTCACAGAATAAAGACTGTGTAAATGACCAAGACTGGGGCTTTTGAGTTTTATAGATTTTTCCTTTCACTTGCTGATAGGTTTGAGGCAACGAACATTCCACTCTGCTTCCGTGTCTTGTGCATCATTCCTCACACCTGTCAGGGTGGTTCCACAGTAGTCCTTCGCAAGGCAGTCTCCGTAAGGGTCTTCGGGGTGTGCTTTCCCTGGAGTCTCACCACCCTCTTCTGTTTTCCCCTGAAGCCGGGAGACTCCGGCAGTAATCCAGAGGGAAGATGGAGAGCTGCCTTAAAGTGGAGCTGGTGGTCTGGAGAGAAGGGACCATGAGACTGAGGCCTGTTGGACCTTGGAGACTGACTGGACCCTGCTGGGGAGAAGGAGTCAAAGGATGACACTGGTTTGTTCTTGGCACAACTAATATTCCACAGTTCCACTTTCAATAATAATTTTTAGACTGATTGTCCCTTCCTCCTGTCCCAAAGTCTAGAGTTCAGTGAAGACAATTAGATTTACCTCTTACGATCCTTTACAAAAATGGTGTTTATTTTGAGATAATTTTAGACTTAAGAAAAGTTGCAAAAAATAGTATAGAGAGCTCTCTTGCTCCTTTAACCGGCTTCCCCTTTGTCACCATTTTATATAACTATGGAGTGATCACCAAAACTAAGAAAAGAACTTTGATAAAATCCTGTAAACTACAGACTTTATTCACATCTCACCATTTCTTTACTATTGTATCTTCTTTCTGTTCCAGAACCCCATCCAGGGCCCCACAGTGCATGGAGTTGTCTTGTCTCCTTAGTCTCCTTTGCTCGGTGACAGTTGGTCTGGCTTTCATGACACTTATTAGAGTATTTGCCAATTGTTTTTTAGAATGTCCTCCTTTGGGGTCTGATGTTGCTTCACTGCACTGCTATTGTTAACCATGATCATGAGGTTAAGATGGTTTCTGTCAGGATAGTCACTGTGAAGTTAACACTCTTCCCTTATGTATTCCCTAAATGTCTGAGGGGGCCAGGGTGCAACTTCAAGACTCTCCAAATATGTTGTTTCTGCTTAGACATGGGCCTACTAAATTTAGAATTTATCAAAGGATCTTGTCTGTGGCAATTATTACCATGGTAATATAATAGTGATTTCTTATTTCCCTTATTTCTTCTATGTTAATTAATTGGAACTGTTCTTAAGGAGGAATTGCATGACCTTACATTATAATAAGGCAACTATAAAAAAAGTCCATACTCTTTTGGAGCCTAAATTTTAGATGGAGACATACACAAACAAAATAAAGAAATGAGTTAGATAATATATGAATAGATGACAAGTACTATAGAGAGAAATCAAGTGATGAAGGTAGGGGAAGGGCATCAGGAGGTGCAGGTTTAAATTGCATGGTCAGAGGAGGCCTTAGAGAGAAGACCTAAAGCAAAGGAGGGAGCCAGCATATGAAATCATAGGGGAAGGGGGTAGATTTCTAAAGAGAAGAAACCAGGGAGAGCAAAGGGTCTGAGGCAGGACCATCCTTATCTTATGTGCTTTAGGAAAGCCCTGGAGGCCAGAGTGGCTGGCACAAGTGAGCAAAGTGGGAAGGGAAGTGAGAGGGCGATGAGGCAGAGAGTGACAGGGCCAGATGGCACAGTCTTGGGGCTGTTCTCCTGACCTGGCTGTTGCTCTAACGGAGGTGGGAACCATCAAGCAAAGGGGTCATGTGATGTTTTTCATATACTAAAAGATCACGTTGGCTGCTTTGTGTAGGCAAGGGTGGAAGCATGGAGACCACAGGTAGGAAACAATGACTGTCATCAAGGTAAGAGATGAAAGTGGCTTGGACCAGAAAGGTAACAAAGAGGTGGTTGGATTTGGATGTATTTTGAAGGTAGAACTAACACTGCTACAAAAGCTCTCCCTTGTGGCCAGGAGCTTCTGGCCACCTCCTGGATCCCCAGGGTGTGTATCCTTGCTCCTCTGCCTTGAAGGGGGCTTTAGGAACAAGTCTGAGAAGTGCTGGCTGGCCATGTTGAGTCTAAGGCCCTCATTGGAACCCTGGATTATCTGCGTCCACCCTCCTTTCCTCTGCACTGTACCACACACTTCTCTCTCCCCAGGGCCAACCTTCTGCTCAGGCCAACCCACCATTTGTTCACAGTCTCTCAGTCCTCAGTGCCCTCTGCCAACCAAGATTCTTCCTATCCTCCAAGGCTCACTTCCAGCCCCATTGTCTGAACACTGCCCTCCTGGTAGGGACACTCACTAGGCTCTGCATCATGTGAGCAGCCCTGATTCCAGACAGCTTCAGATGCCCCTGCAGCCTTGGGGCCCCTTAACCACAAGAACTGGTCCCAAGTCCTTCATCAGTTGGTCGTTGGCTTGAAAATATTATGTTTCCTCTTAATCATCCATGTACATTTTGAATTATATTCCATGTATATATATTTTTTTAAATATGAAAATAATGTTTCTGCCTCTATCTCTGCCCAAGCCTTCAAGTGAAATTGAAAGTACATCTTTCTTTTTTTGGGGGCTCTCTCTACCTTTTGGTGGAGGGGCTGTAAAAATAGTTTGAGAAGGCAGGTGAGGGGTACAAGGAAAGGCAGGCATCCCTGAGGATTTATTTGCTGCTAATGGATTTCTATATCTATCTATTGAAATAAACTTGTGAAAAATGCATATGGTTAAAAACTTCAAGCAGCATAAAAGGGTAGATCCTGAAAAGTAACCCTTCAGTGGCCTGCGTCTGCCAAGCCCTGCCCCAGAGTCAGTCACTCTTACCTGTCCCTTAAATGCCTATCCAGGGGTTGCTGATGCAGTTAGCGGCTGGGAGCAGATAGTAATGAACAGCTGAAGGTAAATGGAGGTGTGGAGAAACCTAGGCCCCACATTGCACTTCCCAAGGCTATGCAGCACCGTCAGAAGGGCTGGCTGCAGAAAGCCACCCTGCCATTTTTATTGTGCTTGGCTCAGACCACAGAGGGGTGAATTTGCAAAGCCACCACACTCCAATGGAATTGGGGCATTTGGTACCACCCTCTTTGGCTCTGTCTGTGCCCTCACAGGGAGATTAGTTGTCCTCAAGATTGCCCAGGTTGGCTGTTGTCTCTCCCTCCAAGTCAGCCAGCCAGCCAGAGGGAGAAGCACAACCAAGAGCTACAGGAGGAAGAAAGGCAGGTGGAAGAAGAGGTGGAGAATGCCAGCTCCCAAGCCATGATTACAGCGAGATTTCAGGGGAGCTTTGTCATCCCTCCGCACTCCTCTGTGCCTCAGAGGCTCACCTGGAAGGCAGCACCCCTGTCTACCTTTCCCGTGGGAATTCAGAGCAGCAAGCAGAACCCCTGAACTCTGTTGGGCCACTGCCAGCTACTTTCAAGCCTTTTTCCCTGCCGATTACAGTGACATGATGTCGTTTTTATTGAGGCAAGATTAGATTTTTTTTTTTAAGTTTTCAAAAGTGTGGTTCACATGATCTCTAGTACTTTTCCTATTGCTTGAAGACCACAGAGCTGCCAATTTCAATTTGCTTCAGCTTTTATCACTAAAAGAAGCTTAAAAGAAAAAAGAAAGGGGAGACAGGCTGAATGAAAATATTCCCCTTGGCCCTGGCAGTTAGCATGAGGGTGGCAGGGGACACACGCATCACCCACCCCTTTTTGTGTAAATGTTGTAATAGAAAGTTGTCGGGAGACTGAAGTTGGGCCTGGCTGCTGGACAACACACAATGTCCGAATGACTGGAGGGTTTTTGTGCCATAGCCAGAGAGGAATGTGCAGCCAGAAGTCATTCATGGTAGTCAGGAAAGTATTTAGAGAAGATGCTGATCTATTGGGTGATGGGTAAAGTAAACTCAAAGAAGTTTTATTTCATCTTAATTCTAATTTTATTATTCTTAAATCTAAGAATTTTCCTCCTTGGAGGCAAGATTTCCCATTCATTCAACATATTCATTGAGCACCTACTATGTGCCCGATTCTGCTGGCAGGGTGAATAAGGCAAAGTCCAGGCCTTTTGCCAGTTTTGAAGCAAAAATGAAGAATAATAATCTGCATGGACCATGGTTTTTCAGGTGCCAACTCACCCCTCAAAATGGGTGGTGTGATGGAAAATCATGAAAAAAGCTAAGGTCCAATCACATTTGAAGCAGGAGAATGAGGTCTGGAGGGGTAAAGGACATGCTAACAAAACAAATCTCTCCTATTCCATGAACTCTGTAGAGTAGAAACAACATTTACATATTACCACCACTTACGAGCCACTTTCAGATTCCTACTAGTTTGATCCTCACAACAGCCTGTGAAGTAGGGAAGGGCAAAGTTGACCACAGCTCTTCACTGCAACTGGCACATGGTAGGTACTCAATGAATGTTAAGTAAACCCCTAATTTAGAGGGTTACACCGGTGGTTCAAGAATAATTAAGAGATTGGTCCCAAGTTACTTGGTAGTAAGTGACAGAGTCTGGACTTGAACTCAGAGGTCTTGAATATATATATCAAGGCCTGTCGTTACTCCTAGAAGCACCACCCTCTAGAGATTTCTTCAGATTACTGCCTTTCCTGTGGCAGCAAAGTGACTCAAGTCAACTTCCTTGAAGGTTGCAGTGGTCTTTGGAGAGTAATTTCAATGGGTAGAGGCCAAAATGACTTCAAATGTGGACAGGATACCTCGTGAGGAGACTCCACCTCCTGGGAAGGTTCTTCCAGAGTTGAGTTCATTGAGCTAAGAAACCTGGGCATGGGTATTATTCTTTGGGTATGGATTTCTAAACTGTTGCAAACCAGATTGGAAATATCCTTCTAGAAGTTTATATATCACCTCGACTCACTCTGTCTCTTTCAATTGTGTGGATCAGAAAAAGGTGGATTCAGAGCAAAATTGTGAAGAAATGTCTCCTCATTTGTGTCTTGTGAATCTTGATTTTTCTCCTCTGCAGAAGGATGGAAGGCCACTGTTGGAGTGGGATGTGTCAGATAGTTTAGAAGGCTTCATCAGGGATATAGAACTGAGAAGCCTAATTGCAGCTGTACTATCACTGGGCTGGAAGCTACCCAGAACATGATCTGAGTCTCTTCCCCTGAGGCAGGGGATAAGAGCACATGCCCAGGGTTGACTGTGGATATGTCCCTGCCAGGAAATGCAGTGTGGGGACATGAAGGAGTCTACAGGAATAGGGAGTCTGTCTAGATGCAAAGGGAGATCAGAGGGTGTAACACTCCATCTTCTTGTCCACTTTGCTCCATGAACATGAAGTAGTGCTTTTAGCTGCAAGTCAGAGAAAGATCTGGGTTCTAGTTCTACCTCAGCCATAGGCTCATGGTGTATGTCCCTAAAGATGGCATTCATTGCTGCCTCTTTGGGTTTTAGGTTCCCCATCAGTAGCCTGATGGTTTTCAACCAATGCCTTGGGAGAAGTTTCCTCCCTGGGGGTTGCAGAGTCAGAGCTCAGAGGTGGTGCTGAGCACCAGGGCTTCTTACAAACCTTCTCATCCTTCTACCAGATCGATATGGTGTTGGGCTGTTCACACATTGCATGTCCTCCTATGATTTTGTTCAAAGAAAGTATTTCACTGGTTTTTGTATTTAAGTTTGAAAACTGCAAGTAAGAGGCTCCCCCAAAATAATTATGAGTATGTGATATGAGTTATAAAGGCTGCGTGGGAGAGTGTACCTGGCCCTCAAACTGCTCACACTTCAGTGGGGTGGGCTGGAGACAGTTGACAAAAAATTACAAAACTACACGGTGTCTTACTTTTAATATTCTTCACCAGTAAGTGGAACCTTGTCTCATCTCTCTCACCCACAGCCAGCATATACAGGATACTTAGTAGGTGCTTAGTAAATACTTGCTGAAAGGACTGGTGAATGAGTGGCTCATTCCCTTTGGGAGGAATCACAGATGCAAAGGTAGCTAAGGGCCTTCCCAGCACTCACTGGAGCTGTGTAGGTGCTGGGAGCTCCGTGTTTCCCTTTCATGAATGGGCCAGTTACAGCAACTGGGGACATAATCTGTTACAGGTTGAATTGTGTTCCCTAAAAAATTATGTTGAAGTCCTAACTCTTGGTACCTTGGAATGGGACCGTATTTGGGTATAAAGGTTGCTAGAGGTCTGCTGAAGGGTTGTTGCACCTGTCATCAGCTGAAGGGAGGCTGCATTGGCGAGGGTGGGTCCTTCATCCAATATGACTGGTGTCCTTTAAAGAAGAGGAGCAGAAACAGACAGGGAGAAGACGGTTACATGCTAATGGAGGGGGGGGGGGCGGAGACTGGAGTAGTGAATCTACAAGCTACAGAACACCAAGGAATGCCAGCAAATCCTAGAGGTGGGAGAGGCAAGCAAGGATTCTCCACTATAGGTTTCACAGGGAGTGTGGTCCTGCTGAGTCCTTGATCTCAGACATGGTGCCTCCAGAACTTTAAGAAAATACATTTCTATTGTTTTAAGCCACCCAGTTTATGGTACTTTGTTATGGAGCTCTAGCAAACTAATACATCTGATACTATGCTTACAAGGAAACTCTACAACCTTTTTTTTCCTTTAACCTCAATAAAATGTCTGGAAAATATGTTTGGTTTGAACTTACTGTTTTGAAGCATTCATTGTGGTCTCTCATAAAAATATTTCTTGTATTTAAAACTCTAAAACCTTTGTATGTTGGGTCACATGTGTGGCATACATTGAGTGGTAAAATAAATGAAAAAGAAAACCACCTCCCTGCAAACAAACCAAAAAAGCCCCATCCTGGTCCTTATCTTTTTTAAAGGCAGATTTGCTGAAAATTGGCTGCTTCATTTACCTGAGAGTTTGAACAGATTGTTCAGCATAGAGGTGAGTTTCACTTTCCCCTCTAGGAGCTGGGCATGATTGTCTGTATTAAATGTGATGTACAATCATTTCTCATCTCTCCTGCAGAAGTGCCACTTGCTTCTGAATGCCTTTCATGTGTTTTGTTTCATGGACCAATCCTCCTGCAGGCATTCTCCTCCCGTCCCCTTGATCAGGGAAGGACCCCTCCCCCGCCACCCACAAGGAGATTCAGGAATTTGTAGGACCCACCTCACTTCTGGTTATTGAATAACTGGCAGGGCATCGAATGTCAGGGCTAAGAAAACAGAACGGCCTACCTGCAGGACTGAATGACCTCAGTGCCCCAGCTGTTCTCAGGGTGTCAGCTTGCACGTCTGTCAGCGACCCTTTCATCACAAGCCCTGCTGACATCATACTGTTCTGAACACCTAACCTGATCATTGTCACTGTGGTCACCACACGGTGAATGACAGCAGCTTAAGGTTCTGATAAAGCCTGGAGCAGTTGTGCACAAGAGGGAATGGAAGATGGGAATGGGGAAAGAATGAGGGGTTTGCTGTATTTTAATTCAAAATTCGCCATCAACCTCCCAACCTGGTTTCCAGCCCAAGGCTTCACACAGCAGTAGATGTGAGATGAGCAAACCGTCACCCTCCCACCTGTAAACCTGACCTGGATGACCAGAGCTTTCCTCCAGGGAAGAGAAGGTTCTGGTGCCATTTTTCTGCCATAGGTGCTGCAGCAGTGGGTGTCTCTGGTTCCCAAGGTCTGATGGGGAAAATGTCTTTGCTGGACTCTGGCAGAGGGCTTCCGTTAGGGTGCGTTTGTGACTGGCTTTCGCCGTTGGTGCAAGCTTTCCTGTCAGTGTCTGAGAGATGACTGCCATGGCAAGAGGATGGACAGTGATCTCCAACAGCGAGTCATGATTTCCTCACATGAGAGTTGGAAGAACTGAGGGGGAACAAAGGGAGGTAATCATTCTGTGTCAGGCAGACATTGTCAGAATGCTCACCATGGGCCATGCGCTGTGTGATGTCCTGAGGAAGGCAGTACTGCAAATCAGGGCTACTCACAGGACTAGTGCCTGAGGAGGAGTCTGTCCAGGGAACAGGGAGTCCTGGGGAACAGAGAAGCTCAGCGCATGGCCTGGGATAGCCGGAAGGGGAGTTTTATTCTGGGACTAGAAGAGTGATTTTCAACATAAGCCTTAGGCACTCAACATCAAGGTCATCTCGGGGAGTTTGTTACAATGCACATTCCAGACTCCCCACCCCAGTCATACTGAGCCAGAGTCTCTGGAATGGATCCTGGGAAGCTGCATTTGATTCTTTGGTACAAAGTTGGAGAACACCGCTTTGGGGTGCTTCAGGCTAGTACATGCAAAAAGATGTTTCCAAGGAGCTCAGGATCCAGGTAGTGTACAACAGAGTAAGGAAGTCTGGCCTTGGGGGAGAAGCCCAGAGCCCCATGTATTTATAAATTCATTCATAACTGAGGTCTTGAGGCCTTGGCTGAGATAGAGCTGAGCAAGGGACAATCTAGGAGAGTTTTGTGCAAAGCCCATGGATGGAGCCCTGTGTCCCATAACAGGTTTTGTCTCAAAACTTCAGGAACTCTTCTCTCTTTTGCTGTTTTTCCCTGTCTTTTCTAAGGACATCATTTATATAAGGAGGTTTGAAGATGAGCCTACTGTCCTAAAGAGACTGGGGGTGCATTGTTTCTGTTGTCTGGCCATCAGTCACCTGCCTGAGGAGGATTAACATTCTCCTTTGAGGCTCCTTTTGCGCAGGCCCTGCTGTGGCCCTTGCTTAAGTCTCCAGGTAATCTTCAGCTGCAGAGAGAAAGCCCCCACCTATCCCAACAGTTCTCTTTAGCTCTCAGGCAAAAAATAGGAAGGGCCCTGAATGGGCAGCTGTGTGGCACTGCATGCAATGTGCTGGTCTGTTCAAGGAGTAGTCACTGTTGGAAGAAATCAAAACTGAAAATTGAGATTCCCCTGCCATCCATTTATTCCTTCAACAGAAATGTGTTGCATCCCTTCCCTGGCATTGTGTGAGTGGCTGGAGTTTTGGGTGGATAAGATGGACACAGTCCCTGCCCTCATGGCGTTTATGATCTATAAGGGAAGAGAAACAAGTAAAGGGTGGATTGTAGTAACTGAGCTGGGAGAAATGCTGTCTCCCATGATTCCTCCATGCCCTCAAAGGCTGCACCTGGCCCAGGGCTGGATGGCTCAATGGTATTGGAGATATCCTTGTCCCGAATCCATTTTTCTCTTTTTTTTGCAAACATTTGCTGAGCCTCTATTATATGTGGTATTAAATGACTTGTGTCCCAGACTCTGCTAATTAATTTACAGGCAGATTTTTAAAAAATGAACAAAATGCAAAACCTTGTCCCAAGGAGCTCAAAGTCAAATGTGGAGGGTCAGAGAAGCAAAGAAATTGCATCAAGACTGGGATAATGGCTCAAGCCATGGTACAGCTGTGGTTTGTTCAAGGCCACAGCAGAGTGTGGGGGCAGGGTGGGGTGCAGCAAGGGCAGAGTGCTTAGGCAGGGACAACTGGAAGCAGGTGTAGGAGTTTTTCCATTCTTTTGATGCTTCCCAGTCACGAAGTTAAATGATACCTGTTTCATCGTCCAATCACTCTGTAACTATGGACTGAGTGCCTATGATGTTCTTAGTGAACCAGCAAGAAAATCATTAGATCAGGCAGTCAAGCCAACAATCTTACTGGTTCCCTGGCTGGTGACAAGCTACAGTCAAACACTGTGGACTAAATAAAAGAATTGGAAGAACTCTCTCTTGTCCTCAGGGGTTCTATAGCTAACCTGAGTTGGCCAAGTGCATCCAGTCACCTCCAAAGCTCCTGTGTAGTAAAGGCAGATCCTACCCACTAGCAACAACGGGTTTCCTTCTGGGTGGGAAAGAGATGCCCCCTCACCTGGATCAAGCATTAAGTACATCTCTTAATTTTTGTAACAGCATGTCAGCTCTGATGTCTGCCAGGCTGGTATCTAAAGTATGAGGATCCATGGACAGCTAATATATATATTATATCTGTATATTGCAGATGTATAGATATATGTATAATAAGGTTCATTTTACTTCCAATTATGATTTATGCACATTAAAAAATAGAAAACTGCAGAAAAGATGAAAGAAGATAACCATTATCATTATTTAATATATTTCCTTCTTTTCTTTCATGATTTTACATAGTTATGACCATTGTATAGATTCAATTTTATACTCTGCTTTTGCTATTTAACATGATAGCAACATAAACTTCATTTCAAATGACTACATAATTTTTCATCATTCAGGTACAATGATTTATTTAATATATTTCAGCATATAACTGTAAAAAAAATTATTTTTCTTAAGGTAACTTCCCAGAAATGGAATTGCTAGTAAAGAGTATTATTAAGACTCTTAATACATACTGCCATTCCAAAGGGTCATGTCAGTTTTTATTTCCATATATATAGAAGTGTATGAGTTTAATTCTAAATTGTCTGCTATTTATGTCTTGATAAAACAGGATTGAAACAAGGCACTAAGCCTTGTCCTTGGGTCTGATTGGGATCAACACAAACATATAGGCTTGAATTGCATTAGTTTAGTTCCTTCACATTGAATTATAAATTGATACTGCCCTTAACTTTAAAATGGATTATTTCCAAATAAACAAAAAAAGACACTTCTGGCCTCTTCTGCTAAACCATCACTGAGGACCCCATCCTTTGAGTTACTCTGTGTCCCTTATATCAGGACATATTCCACTTTAACCTCAGCCTTATTTCCTTTTTTTTTTTTTTTAGAACAAGTAGTGATATCTCAGCTACCAAGAGCTCAGAGTTCACATTCATGCTTGCTGAAGGTAAAGGGCCATCAAACCATCATTTTTCCTCTTTTGGAGTTATTGTAAACAGGCTCAAAAACCACTAGCCAAATGCACATTAAGTTTCAGCCTAATCGATGACCAGGGAAGCTTCCAAAGCTGCAGGTTCTCTATTAACCCCTGTAACAGGGAATGGGGCCGGGGACCTCCTGTTTCCTCCCGGAGCTAGACTTTGGGATCTGCATGTTCTGCTAAGCAGACTCTGGGTACACTTATTCATGCTACTTCAAGGAAAAGCTTATGGCCTGCTTGTAGAAGGCCAGTGGAGTAGAAGCAGTTGGAGAATGGCTTAGTGGTGATGGTGGGCAGTGAGGGGTGAGTCCTTGTGCAGGTGGTCTATCACAGAAGCTTGGAGTGGGACAGAGAGCAGAAGCCTGCTCTGCTCATGACTAAGGAGCAAAAGCCAGAGACTGCATCACTGTGCCCTGACTCAGTAGCTGCCTCCTGGGAAATGTACCCCTCACTGATCTCATTAGCTACTGCTTCTTTCCAGGAGGAGGGAGATGGGAGAGTTCTACTCCAACCCTCCCCTCATGTGGGCTGAAGAGTACAAGTCTCTCCTCTACAGAAAGGTGAGAAAGACAAAATGAAGATTACCCTCAGGGTAAAGGTACTTAACTGCAGCAGCCAGCTTAACCTGGATGTCTAACATAATTGTCCTTTTCCTCTCTCAGTGATGTTTCTGATTTTTTCCTACATTTGTAGCTTGAGATTTACTATTATATGTACATTTATTTTTTCATTGTAAGCAACTTAAATTTTTGTATCATATATACAAGTAAACAACCGTAAGCTTGGAGTTCTAAGGCTAACAGGTGCAAGACACACTGAACAAATCACAGGTGAGGCCTTAAAAGCTAGGGTCAGCGAAAACTAGAGTTATCAGGATGATTTACTTTGGGTGGCAGGGTTTAAGTTGGGTTTGACTGGGTGTAAGAGTAGGAATATCAAAGCCAGTGCTTGAGATGGGAAGAATCATGGCTAGACATGAGAAATGGCCACTCTTTTAGCCCTTACAGTTTGTAAAGTATTTTAAGATCCATTATGCCTCTTCGTCATCACACCAACCCTACAGGGTGGATATTATTATTGTCCCCATTTTATCCACGGAATACTAGGCTCAGAGAGGTCATATGGTGGATCTAGGACTTACATCTGGGTCTTCTGCACCCCAATTTCATTTTTACCCCCATCCTCTGTACACTGTTTAAGCTAGATGAGGAGACCAACTCGACAGAAGGGGAGGAAGTGCTCTTAGAGAACAGTGGAAACTATGGTGTTGAGTTAAGCCTGAGCCAGACTGAAGAGGGTCCTGAGAGTCAGGCAGTGCAGATTCCTGTAGAGGAAAAGGAACCAGCAAAAGCTTTTGAGCAGGAGAGTCACATGATCAGGTGATAAGCCCCACCCGCCTGATGCTAGTATGCACAGAGCAGTGAGAAGTGCAAAGAGGGAATATGGGAGTAGAGATGCTAGTTGGAAGGGTAAGGGCAGACTTCTGCAGGAGTATTGTTTGTTCTCAGGATATTATTAGCTTCTTTCTGAGGGTTTATCACTGTGCCATGAAATTAGAATTAGATGGGGCTGAAATATTCTGTCCCTCTCTTTCACTATTTTTATACTAATGAGCTAGTATCTCTGATATTTGGTCCACATTATTTTCAGCATTTCTGCTTTACCCCACCTCTGCGACCCCTCTATAAGCAAAGTTGGGATTCAAACAACGCACTGATAAGACTTAGAGTTGAGGCAAATATCCACTTGAGTTTTATTATATTTAATGAATATTTATGGAGAACCAATTATGTGCTGGGCACTCTGCAAAGTTCCTCTGTTGAGGGAACAGAAGGAATGCATTGCACAGCCCTGCTTCAGGTGCTCCTGGCCTCCAGGGGAGGAGGCTGAGAGAGAGGGTGTGGGGGAGGGGAAGGCATAGGAGGCTAGACAGGGACACAAAGAATGCAGGAGAGGGCTACCAGACTGGCTCCTTTTTCCCCCAGGAGGGCGAGGATTAGGTATGGATCCACCAGCAGCAGTGAATGTCCCACTCTGAGGTTGCCTTTGTCGTGTGATCAAAGGGTATCTCCAGAGGCCAACAATCCCAGCTCTGGCTAAATTTTCCTTTCTGCTCTGCTGCGGCCAGCCCTCTGAAACTGGCTGCTCCAGAAGAGTGAGTTGGGAGCCTCCCCCCCTCCCCTCCGCCCTCCACCCCACATCTGCTCCCTGGGGGCCACAGTGGAGAGCCCCACCCTCCAGGGGGAAGTCTGTGCTATGAGGTGCAGCAGGACACCTGAGGCCAGTGACAGTGACTCACTGTGTGCCCTTGGGCAAGTTATTTCTTCTCTCTGGTTTCTTCCTCTTTCAGAACTGGAGCAGCTCCTTGTAGCACTTAAAGGCTTGGTGGTGATTACTGCAGAATTGCAGTGTGTGTGTGTGTGTGTGTGTGTGTGTGTGTGTGTGACTTGCTGTTTAATAGGGTGCTAAGACAGCAGGGGGGCTGTCCTTTCCGCCCCCCACCCCCACACGTGTGGCTCTCATTACTGTCAGGAGGCCTTAAGCAGCCCCTTGGAGATGAGAACAGACCCCTTAATTAGGCACCATTCCCAGAGCAAGAGAGGGACCAGCCTGGGCCTGGCTGCCCTGGCGTCACGGGGAGTCCAGCCCACAGGGCCGGAGGGGCATGGGAGGGGGAGGCTATGGCCAGGGCGTCTGAAGGACTCAGCAGGTTTACACTTCGCTGACCCGATGGATGAATGGGGCCCTGTCCACCCACATGGGGGCCTGGAATCTTCAATTATGGCAATTACATCAACAGGTCGGAAGGGCAGCACTTTCCACTGAAGAGGTTCAGGGCTTAAAAGGAAAATACTAAAGCCAGCTTTTTTTTTTCTTTCATTTAAAGGGATTGGGCTGATGGAAGTAGACCCCCATCTACAGTCTAATTGGGCTGTGAGTAGAAAACAAAGATGTGGCATGTTTTTTGGGGTAGAATCTGGCTGGCATGTGCTTACCCACCTCTGGACTTTAGGCTTTTCTTTCAGTCGACTTCGTGTTGCAGTCCCTGGCGCAGGTGCACCCCCTGTCAACTTCCTCAAATGGGACATGGTGCCTTGTCTCTGAGTCCTCCCAGCTCACAAGGCTAGGGGAGGCAGTCCAGGCAGTCCTGAACTGGTGTCAGACAGGCTGGATGAGACTTTGGAGAAGTTGCACAGTCTCTTCGATTCATGGTCTCCGTATTTGTAAAATGGCATAGTGGATAGAATGGGTAAAATCCATCCTTCCTCCTTCCTACAGTTTTGAGGGAGATTCTAGTCCCTGCTGCATACTCAAGCTCATTGGGTATTTTCCCTCCCTCAGCCATCCCGTTAGATAGGTAAGACTTGAGTGAGACCCTTCTACCAGCATCCTGAGAGCTTGTTAGAAACGCAGAAGCTCAGGCTCCACTCCAGATCCACTGAGCCAGAATCTGCATCTGACCAAGCTTCCTTGGAAATTTGTATGCGTGTTCAAGTTTGAGAAGCACTGCTCTGGCCTGAAGCCTGCACACTAAAAACATTACTTCGGTGAGTAAACAAGACTAGACCTCTGGCCTGTTCTCATCTGTAAAATGGGGATAATAATATTTGTTCTTTCCTATATGAGGGATACTGTGAGATCAAATAAGAAAGTAGTTTATAACTTGTAAAGGTATTTTATTCAGTCACTCCATAGTTTGTTCAATAAATATTTGCTGAGCAGCTACTGTAAGGCAAGTTTGGGGTTTATAAAATACTTGCTCTGCTTAGGGAACACTTTAAAGTATTCTAAAAGTCTGATTTTTAAAAGCACCAAGTACAACAAAATGTAGTAAATGCTGTCCAATAGCTATGTTCAAAATAGGAGATGATTGGGTTGGGGGGACAATCAATTCGGATCGAAGTTCAGGCTGTGCTGAGGGTGGTGGTACTGAACTGACGGAGGCATGAGCCAGGGGGAGAAGGAAGAGAAGGCCCTTCTAGACAGTTCTGAGGTACTAAAGCTGGTGGGAGATGAGGGGGTGGCCGTTAGTCCTGAGATCTGACAAGAACGGCTACAGTGGCAGTGTGCTCAGGTGGGCCGTGACCTGCCGGTGAGTATGGACAGGAGAGGTTCCGCAGCCTGTCTTCTCTCTCTTGGGCCTTCAGTCTGAACAGTATTGTCCTGCCTACAGTCTCAACTGTCTAAGAGGAGGACACTGGGTTTGTTTTTCTGTTTCTTCCACTCCTCATCTGTGCTGATGGGTGAAGTGTATTGCCAACACTAATGTCCTACTTGCTAAGGTTTTAACATAACACTGAGTAGCAGGCTTTAGTTAAGGAATGGAAGTGGGTTTCCAGATCTGTCGTTTATTTTTACAACCCAGTGGGAAAGGCAAGTTGGCACCTATGGTACCTGAGAATTGAGATGTCAGCATGTTTAGGAAATGCCAGTGAGATCTTTCACTGTCCTGCTCCCCTGCTGCCACCTCTCTGTGTCTATAGAAACAGTGGTCACAGGTGCAGGGTGACGTGGCTCTCAGCTAGTGGGCAAACAACAGAATAGAGATGCTACTGAGACCCAGAGAGCAGTAACTCTGATGCATCTGGAAGAGGTGGCTCCCATGCCCAGCAGCCTAGGATGCTTCTGGGCTCTGCCTGGTCACAGCAGTGAGAGCAGGAGTGGGAGTGGGTGATGCCGAAGGGGAGTGTGCAGAGCAGGTAGAGAGCAGAGCAGGCCCAGGGTAATCTGAGTTCTCCTGCAGGTCAGGAGACTTAAGCTTACATGAGGGCTGAGCTCTTGCTTGTCCCAGTGCATACTTGGTGCCTGGGTACAACTCCATGGTGGCAATGGGAGGGACCCCTGCCCAGGGTCTCCTCAGTGTGAGGAAAGCAGCCAGTGGATGCCCAGGCTCATTTTACTCAGTTCTAAGCTCCAAAGCTAAAGGCAAGGACTTTGTCTTGCTTGCATGGGACAGCGCCCTTGGGTGCTGAGTTAATATTTGACCAAATTTGCAAATAAGGGTTATCTGTTTGTCTCTGGCAAGGACATTGGGGTAAATGGCTTTCTGCTGCACCACCCTCAGTATTTCTGTTTATTCTCTTTGGGCCAAGGAAGGAGACAGAACCTTTCCTTGTCACTGGCCCCTTCAGTTCTCTGTTGACACGGGTGACCAACTTTGTAAAAAACGACCCCATGGGGTTGTTGCTCTTGCTCTGAGTGGATCTTGACTAAAAGCCTGGGAAGCAGCATGATATAGAGAAATAGCCTGAGATTTGCAGCCAGATGGGACTGGATTAAAATCCAGGCTCGTCCAATTATGACTTGTGGTCCTTAGGAAAGTAAGTACCTTTGCCACCCCACCCCAAAGTGGGTGTGGGAGCGAGCTGCCCTCCTTGCTGGGTCAGGAGGACTGAAGCCCTGGCGGTGACAGCTGCCCTGCTTGCTGGTTTGCCGTGACCCAGCCCCCAGAAGTCTAGAGATGGAGAACTGGAGGGCTTTCAGTTCATGAAGACCATCTCTGTGTCAGGGCTGGGCAGGCAAAGGACCCTGGGGTCAACCCTTCATCAACCAGAAGAGGAGACTGCAGCCAGCAGTGCCCTGCCTCACTGGGTCCCTGGGGCCCCACACCTGTCCTCAGACCCACACAAACACCACAGAAGAGGGAGCCCTCAGGTTTTCTGGACCTATTCTCAGCCACCACCCTCCCTCCATCCGACCTGGTGTTTGCTCTCCCAGGTGCCTTGACTTCTAGGTTTGACATTTGCCAGTTCCTGGCCAAGGCCTTGAATTCACTCAAAAAAGACTCTGCTCATATACCAGATGCATAATGTCTGCTGCCTCGGGTGTACACCTCCCTTTTCTGTGGGGCCAGGAGCTCAGAACTTCCAAAGCATGCTCTTCCCTTCTACCCTCTTCTCCTGGGTTCTTTGTTGGTTTCTGGAATGGCATTTCCTCTCTTTCTCTCTCTCTTTTATTTTTTATTTTTGTAACTGGGGGGGAGCAGCCTTTGAGGATTTTTTGGGTGAACATGCCACATGTCTGCGTCATGCTGCAATAGGAATCCACAGGAGGACAAAGGATGGGATGTATCATTTCCAGATGATCTGAAGAAATCACTGGGGTGCTCAGCCTTCCCTTCAGAAGGCAGAGGCAAAATTCCGAGCAGGCTCCTGCATCGGTGACTGAACCCTCCTCTTCTAGATGCTATGAAGTGTCCTGAAACATTCCACTCTTTGCTCTGAGACTCGGCTTTTTTCTAAAAAACAAGGACAGTAATGATTCCAGTCTAGGTAACTTCATCAAAGTGCTATCTGGACTGCAGCAGATCCTGGATATGAAAATACTGGGTAAGCTCCGTAGCCTCATGCACTTGTCAGGAGCTGCTCTTGGCAGTTCTCAGCCCTATTCTGGGTAAAGGTTTCCGTACCCGCCATTGGGTCAGCCTGGGCTGTACTAAGCGGCCCCTTTCAAAGGCCTCTCAGTTTCTAGGACTGGAAAGTAGCAGTGAGGAATTCCAACTGACCCATCTCCTCAGACTCTTCCCAGAGGGAGTGTGCCTTGTTGGTGGTGAGGAGGCTCAGGGGATTCTCAAGGGTTACTTTGCTGGGAGTCTCCAGATGGCATCTGCATTCCGGTAAACATGCTGGAACCAAGGACCCTGACTCCTGTCACGTCCCAGTTAGAGGTGGCAGAGTGGTGTCCAGGGAGGTGTGTGGGGCCACATGGGTGATGCTGCAACCCCAGGTAGGCCGGAAATAGTGTCATAAAGGACAGCCATCCCTACTGCCTAGGCAGTAGCCTGGGCACCAGGGGCATCTGCACAAGGCATTTAGATTCCCCAGAAGGAGCCAGGAGGGTTGTCACAAACTTTCCTTAGAGAAAGTAGCACCAGTCTGGCAGTATTTACTAGTTTATTCATTTGTCCATTTGTTCAGACAGTCATCTGTGTATTTCTTCAATCATGATGAATTTGTCAAGCACTTACTACATATTAGAGCCATGCTAAGGGTCCCACATGTATTTTGTCTTGTATTGGGATAGGTTAGGTAGCTCTGTGTTAACAAACAATCCCCAAATCTCAGTGACTGGAAGCCGCACCAGTTTATTTCTTACTGGTGTTACCTTCTCAGCACGGCTCTTTGTTGATGGTGTTGCTCATGGTTTCCAAGGTGGTGAGTGCTCCCCATCCTCTGATGCCGGCATTTCAGCATGAGCTCCTAGGATTCACTGCAGCAGGGGAAGAGAGCGAGGAGAACTACGCACTGGCTTCTCAAGGACTCTGCCGGGAAGTGGCTGCACCCCTTCTGCTCACATTTCATTGGCCAGAGGATGTCAATTGCCAAACCTAAAGCAGTCAGAGAAGTGTCATCCTTTCCTGGTCCTTAAAGGAAGTATGGAAATAATATGAACTCTGTTAAGTCCTACCACACACTAACTCCCATAAGAATCCTGGAGGTAGTTATTATTCTGATTTTACACGTGAAGAAACAAGAAGGACAAGAAGGGTTAAGCACCTCCTCTACATTTGCTTGGCTAGTAAGAGGGAGATGTGGTATTTGAACTTGGGACAGTCTGAATGCAAAACCTTTACTGGATCTTTTATAGCACCCTGCCATGTATACAAAGATGGCTGAATCTCAAGGTAGAAAACAGCATCTGTCAGCCAAAGAAGGCTGGGTGTGCCGTTTTGGAGGAGGGAGCGATCACTTCCAGTTAGAGAAATCCAGGAAACCTTCACTGAGGAGGTGGCTTTTGCCCAGATTTAAACATCCAGAGATATTTATTATTTCAATCAGTTATTCATTCTGTGGGCTATGTGGGTGGCTTCTCACATCTGGCAAATCTTTATAAAATCCAGTTAGTTCACATATTTAGCTTAGTTCACACTCTGTCCTCACAAAAGAGTGATGGGGGTGGGACAGAGAGTAGTTCTGAACTGAGTTTAACTAAGTAAGTTTCCTGGAACAGGCCCTGGGGAGAGATTTGGTGAAGTGGGTCAAGAAGAGCTGGACTTTATTGCAGATTTATTGCGGCCTTCCTGCCTTCCTCTCTCCTTTCCTCCTCGCTCTGTCCTGAGAACCTGCTATCTGCCTGGGGTGGGGTGGAATGCTGGGGAAGGGGAAGGAAGAGGGGGCTGACTCTGACACAGGTTCTGGCCCCCTGGGAGTCTCAGTGTTTAATGATGGGAGGGATAAGGTTGCAGGGCTCCAGGGTCCCAGTGTTTGCCTAGAAACTCAAGACAAAGCCCCCAGCATGGGGTAGAGTGACCCCACTGAGGGGTGTGGGTAACTGGAGTAAAAGAAAATAAGCTTTCCATCCAGAGCGGTGGGGCATGGGGGCTGGAGGGGAGAAGCTTTCAGGACAGGCAGAGAGTGCAGCTCCAGTCCTGCCAGCTGAGAGGGGCTGAATGAGTCAGGCCCAGCAGTGCTGCTGATGGACGGACAGCTGGGCCCTCTGGGCTTGCCTAGGGGCCACCCCTGGGTACACCTGGCCTTGCCCACAGCTGTGCTCCAGCTTGGCCCATGCCAGCAGCCAGCTTTCATTAGTGCTGCCAGAGCAGAATTTGACCACTTTCTGATTTTCTTCTGCTTTGCTCCCCCAACTCAGGGGGAAATTGAGTTTCAAGGACAGAGCTTTGCTACATCAGAGGTGGTCCAGGTAGACCAAAGCTGAGAGATGCTATACGACATCCTTGCACACACACTGGCACTTGGCTGCTCATGTTTCCCTTCCAAGAGTCATGGGCTGCCAGCAAAGGACTTGAAGTTTCTACTCTGGAGAAGCTGTTATCCAGTTCATCCCTCAGGTGCAAGGGGTGAGCGTGTGCCCTTTAAGTGAGTCTGTAATCTTCTACCTCTAGGTCTCTTTCCCCATTCACACTATCAAAGGACCTTGGTGCTGGATGGTTCTCAGAGGGTATCTAGGCCTGTGGTTGCTAAACTGACAGATCACCACCTGGGAAGCTTTGAAAAGTACACGTTGCCAGGCTCTGGGCCCAGACGTTCTGACTCAGTAGGTCAGGGCCTAGTCCTCATCCAGTCGATTCTGCAGGTCCTGTGCTCAGTGGGGTGGTCCCCTGGGGCCCTGAGGCCTGGTGCACTTCCCTTTCTGGTGCTTGGCAACCAGCCTTTCCTTGCAAATTTATCGTTCTCATTAAGGGAATGGCTCTCGAAACCCGCTGGGAGGACCAACGGTATTGTGCTCCTGAATGCAGGGCTGACTGGCCAGGAGAGGGTTTCTATGCTGGCTCTGTTCCATCTCATCACGGCAAAGGAGCCCTTTCCTGGGGTGGGAGAGCATTGTCTGTGTCAGCCACGGCTGCCTTGAGATGCTTCCCCTAAGCTGTGGGGCGGGCAGATCAGCCAGAACCATCCTCCCTGGGGCTTGTGGCTGCCCAGCAGAGAGGAAGGGCTGCAAGAGGAACATGGCTGACTGCCCCCCGCTTATGCCTCCCTACTCCCACCCCAGGCCTGGCTGTACAGCAGGCTGTCTTCGGGAGGAATTGAGACCCTGGGTATTGCTTCGGGAAAACACTTTGATTTTCATCTCTGAATCCTAAGAGGTGCTTTGCAAAAAAATGATAATGATTTTGTTGCATGTGCCCAAGATTTGTTCATGCAGGTTCCTGTGTACTCCTTGTAAGGGGAGGAGAGAGCACAGAGGTTATCTTCCAATGCTGGGAAGGAATGAGCTGAGCTCAGAAGGCGAGTGGGCTTCTGAGGCATTTAGTCATCAAGGATCACGATGATATATGTTAGGCACCCTCACATTTTCAGACTGAAAGTGTCTGTGTGCATGCGTAAAGAGAGAGAGGAAGAGAGAGGGAACAACTGATAAAGCAAATGGGGTAGAATGTGAACAATTGTGAATCACCTGGGTAAAAACATACAGATGTTTTTATACCACTTTTATTTTCACCATTTTTTGAAAATTTACATTTATTTTCAAATAAAAATCTTCTTTAAAAAGGTGATGGGGTTTATTTGAAGGCATACAGCAAGTTAATAGTGGAACCCCTGCCTGTGTAAGGCCCACTTGTCACATCTTCTCATTTGGAGATTATATATTTCTCAGACTTAGCTCAAATGCCAGTTCCTGAGTGAGGCTTCCCTGGCCTCCCAGAGTGGATTAGAGCATTTCATGCACTTTCCCTCCCACTTATCACAGTAGACAGGAGTGAATTATTTTTAATTTAATGCCTTTTTCTCCTTTTGGACTATAAGCTCCATGAGGGCAGGACCTCATCTGTCTTGTTCCTGCTGTATCCCAAGAATCTAACACAGTTACTGGAATATAGTAGCTGCCCAACTAATATTTGTTGAGAGGATGAATGAATTGCCTCCCTACTCCCACCCCAGGCCTGGCTGTACAGCAGGCTGTCTTCGGGAGGAATTGAGACCCTGGGTATTGCTTCGGGAAAACACTTTGATTTTCATCTCTGAATCCTAAGAGGTGCTTTGCAAAAAAATGATAATGATTTTGTTGCATGTGCCCAAGATTTGTTCATGCAGGTTCCTGTGTACTCCTTGTAAGGGGAGGAGAGAGCACAGAGGTTATCTTCCAATGCTGGGAAGGAATGAGCTGAGCTCAGAAGGCGAGTGGGCTTCTGAGGCATTTAGTCATCAAGGATCACGATGATATATGTTAGGCACCCTCACATTTTCAGACTGAAAGTGTCTGTGTGCATGCGTAAAGAGAGAGAGGAAGAGAGAGGGAACAACTGATAAAGCAAATGGGGTAGAATGTGAACAATTGTGAATCACCTGGGTAAAAACATACAGATGTTTTTATACCACTTTTATTTTCACCATTTTTTGAAAATTTACATTTATTTTCAAATAAAAATCTTCTTTAAAAAGGTGATGGGGTTTATTTGAAGGCATACAGCAAGTTAATAGTGGAACCCCTGCCTGTGTAAGGCCCACTTGTCACATCTTCTCATTTGGAGATTATATATTTCTCAGACTTAGCTCAAATGCCAGTTCCTGAGTGAGGCTTCCCTGGCCTCCCAGAGTGGATTAGAGCATTTCATGCACTTTCCCTCCCACTTATCACAGTAGACAGGAGTGAATTATTTTTAATTTAATGCCTGTTTCTCCTTTTGGACTATAAGCTCCATGAGGGCAGGACCTCATCTGTCTTGTTCCTGCTGTATCCCAAGAATCTAACACAGTTACTGGAATATAGTAGCTGCCCAACTAATATTTGTTGAGAGGATGAATGAATGAGAGTGTGAATGCCAAGCATGGGCCACAGATATGTACAGGTAGACACACACATGCCCAAACACATCTTTGCTCTACTTTCTTGGTTCCATTGCTCTGCGTCATATACAGGCTGGAGATGCCAGGATTTAGAGGGCAGCTGACAGGGTGGCATCATGCCTCTGGAAATGGCATCTAGGAATGAATGACATCCTTTGGGAAAGGAGGATGACACCTCTTCCCAGTCAGTGTCTCCCTCCTCGCCCCTGAAGCCCAGGGGCCCTTTCTGGGGAGCAGTGGCACTCTCTTGCAGCAGGTGGTGGAGTGGTCCCAGGACAGTGGGCTCTGAGTGTGGTCGTGGAGACCACTGCCTTTCCAGAAACAACAGAGCCCTTTAAAGTCACTTGATATCATGCCTTCCTGACCTGGGCCTCTGCCAAGCCTCCCTCTTTCCATTGTGCTGCGGCAGTAGAAAGAGAGACCTGTATTTGCTCCTTCTGACGCCCCACCATGGACAATAGGGCAAGTGCTATGCTGGGCAGGCCTCCCATGCCCACTAACTGGAGAGTTTGGTTTTAGTTTTTGAATAAGTAATATACCTACATAGTTCAAAATTCAAAAGGGTAAACATATAATCAGTGAACATCAAGCTCCTACCCCTAGGCATCTTCTTCCTTCCAATATTCTTAGTTCTTATGAGTCCTCCTACAGACAGTTTGTGTGTATACAACCAAAGACATGGGTTCCCTGCAGTGGCAGAATTCCATATGTACTGTTTATATCTTGCCCTTTTGCACTTAATGATGTATCTTTGGGCTCTTTCCATACCAGCCATAATGAAAGAGTATCTTTTTTTCTTGGTTACACAGTATTCCATAGTGTCAGTGTACTCGGAAAAATGCAAACATATCTAAGGAGCCACGCTCCAGCCTTCCCTTGCCATGCTCTGTGCAGGTCTGTTCCTGGATTGTACTGACTGTGGAGGAGGATGGAGCATTCAGAATGCTGCCCAGGACAGTGACCACAAGACACATGTGACTGCTGAGGATTTGAAGTGTGGCTAACTGAGTGGAGATGTACAGAAAATGTCAAATACTCTCTGAATTTAAGAGATTTAAATGAAAAAATGTAAGATATATTTTACTAATTGATAATTTTTGTATGATGAGTTAAAATGACAATTTTTAAATACCTTGGTTAAATAAAATATATCATTAAATAAATTTCAACTTTTTTTTAAAGCTTTCAAAAATGCCTCTACTAGCAAATGTAAAATGATGTATGTGGCTCATGGTTGCAAGCAGCATATTTCTGTTGGACTCAGCTTCCGGGAGGCTTGGAGCCCAGGGAGAGAGCTGGAATGGGAAGGAGCTAAATAGAGCAGAAGGGGAGACAGCAAAGGAACAGAAACAGATGGCTAGCAAGAGCCTTTTGAAAGCTCCCAGTCTGGGGGTCGGGAGACTGAGTCCTTGCCCATCTCACTGTCACTTCCTGGGAGACCCCAGGACAACCACCTTCCTTCCTGTTCTCCTAGAGAACATTGCCTCCAGCAGGGCTGGGGTTCCTCTCTGTTTTGTTCTCTGCCCAATCCCCAGAGCTAGAGCCATGCCTGGCCCATGAAGTGCTTGCTGATGAATGAAAGAAGGTAGAAAGTGGAAAGGAAAATTTGAGTTTTCCTTTCAAGGTAAGTGTTAGACTCATCAGAAAATCAGGACTTGGAGGCCCTAGAGCAGGATGCCTCAGTCTATGACGCTGAGACTCAGAATTGCCGGAGTGATTCGCCTGAGGTCTCTCTGGGAAGTTGATGGTAGAACCAGGGCCAGCTTCAGTTTCTTCACTCCCACAGCTAAAGAACCATCTGGAAAAAAGGCTGCTTCAAGTAAGTATCTGCTCTTGGTGATTAATGTCTGCAAATGCAGCTTGGCGATGGCGCCTTCATCATCTCCTTAACCCATTTTCTGGGTGTGAGGTGATAGGCTCCCACGAGGCTGAAGGCCTGAGGAAGACAGTGGCAAGAGAGCCCACTTGGCACCACGGCTCAGCGTTCCCAGTGCCCGTCAGTTGGAAGGGCCTGGCTTCAGCCTGAATACCCAGCGGAGGCCCTGTCATATCCCCTGGCCTCCAGCTCCAGGCTGTTGGCCTGGAGAAGCTGGAGTCCTGCCCTGAGGCTGTGAGGGGCCAGCAGGCTGCAATCAGCAGCAAAAGAGGCGTCTAAATCATTCCTGCTCGGGTGGGAGGGGTCGGCGAGGGGATTTTCATAGATTATATTGAAAGAATTACAATGGTGAGGGAAAGGAGCCGAGTTCCCACAGAGTGTCCGGTCACTCCTGTGGGGGGCTGTGGGAGCTGGGCCTGGCCGCCTCTTTCTCTCTGGGCAGCAGCACACACAGTTTTTAATAATTAAGTAACTTTAATTGTCCTGGGAAAGCCGAGCTCGCCTTGGGGCATGCTGCACAAACTCATAATTAATGTTACCAAGAGAGATTAGCAAAGGAGAACTGAGAAATGATTCACTTTTTAAAAAGCGCCTCACTGTTAAGCCTTATTATCCTAAGTTTAGAACCTCATTTATCTGCTTTGAGGAAAAAAAAAAAAAAGATCCAAGACCCAGAAACGAGTGCATGTGAAATTAAAACTCCATGGCTTTGTAATCTGGTTTAAAAACATCAGATGGGAAAATGTTGCCATTTATTGATTCCATTCTGGTGACTTAAAAAAAAAAAAAGATCCAAGACCCAGAAACGAGTGCATGTGAAATTAAAACTCCATGGCTTTGTAATCTGGTTTAAAAACATCAGATGGGAAAATGTTGCCATTTATTGATTCCATTCTGGTGACTAAGGGAACATTTAAGACAAGAATATAATTAATAAATGATAATGCATTAATAAAAACTCAAGCTTTTTACTGCTGTCTCTGTGCTTCTAGATTAATTCATTTCAGGATTTTTTGGAACAGCTCTTCTCTCTGGCTCTCTATGAAAGATATACCAAATTCTATGTAATTTTCAATTGCTTAGTTGTATGAAAAGATAGTAGTTGGAATATCTGGCACATCAGCATTTGGTACATCTTTGGTGAATTAATCAATGAGTGAGCACATTAGTGCAAGATGAGAGGACCTCAAAAAGGAGAGCCCTGGCCATGCACAGACATGCCTTGTCAACATGAAGGCAAGCCCAGGCTGTGCCTGGGGAAGAGGTCTGGGATGGCGACCAGTGTAGGGTGGACAGGGAAAATACAGCAGCAGCAATGACACAGCTGGCATGAGAGGGAGAAGGGAGAGGAGCTGTGACAATTAGGAGTGTATGTAAGAGGGTGGCCACCACGGCCTTATGCATAACTAGTAGCGCATAAGTAGTATGTGATCGATGGCTCTAAACTAGTGACTGTGTTTCCTTACAAAGTCCCTGTATCTCCACAGCACTGCCCTGTTTTCTTCTCCCATTCAGGCAACAAATATTTGTATCCTAAATGATGAGCATTCCACCCTTTCCAAGCACCATAGTGGATTTTTCTTCCATTTAGTCAACTACCATTGACCGAATGCCTACTAAGCTTCAGGAACCATTTTCCATGGACATAGATGGAAACAACTGGAATGGAGACAGGAGATTTTGGTTCTTAACCTAGATCTATAATTCCATTCTTCTCTCTGAGCCTCAGTTGCCTCAGCCACAAGATGGGAAGCATAGCTGGGCCTTCCTGAGGCCCCACTGAGGGTGTGGATGGCAGCTCTTTAGGAGGTGGGAAGATGGGACTGTGCTCTCCAGAATCACTTTCTGGGATCACTGTGGAGGACATTCTCTGAGCAATGCTTCTTTCCTTCTGGCTTCTCCTAGCAGGGGTACTGTTGGCAACTCCCCACGGTCACCCTGGGATCTGACCCAGAAGATCCCTCCTCCCACATCCTAGAGTGAGAGCTGGAGGGTGATTCGTCCTATGCAGCCACCTGGGAAGGTGCTATTCCTGAGAGCTTTGCTGTCCCTGGATGTCAGTCAATCCCCATTGAGAGGCTGGTGGGTAAATAATGAGGTGGTGGCTGATTTAGCTCAAGGTATGATTCCTTTCAAGGCCTCTACATGTGATAAGATGACTTAAAATGAAAGCTTTTAAGACACGAAGGAATGAAGTCATTCTCTTGGGGCTGTCCCTTTGTGATATGTCAGGCAAGCTGTATCTGGGCCTTTGTTGGCTGAGGGGAAAGGGTAGGAGGGGCACTACAGTGGCTCCCCACCCCCCAGAGTTTTGTCTGAGCAGGTAGAAAAGAGTAAGAGTATAAGGCACTGTGTGCTGAGGAGGAAGAGGCTGGGCAAAGCATTCTGACCTGTTTGTGGAGAAGAGGGTTGTAGAGGAAACAGAGCTTGCAGGGTTCAATGGCAGTGAATAAGAGTTACTTTTGGAAAGGACACTGAAAATAACTAGTATTGCTACTAATAACCACAGTCCCTCAACCTGTTGCAAACACTAGATAATATGCAGTTGCTGTCCCATCCATTATCTCTTTTGAGTCACACAAAGATTCCAGGAAGGAGTATTACTATTCCCATTTTGCAGATGAGGAGACTGAGATTCCTGAGACTTTGGTTGACCAAGGACTTGAACCCAGGTTCTCGGGCTCCTCCTACTCTGCCCAACAAGAGGCTGTCCACAATAACCCTAATGCTTCTGTCTGACTCTTAAGTACTGTGATCTGTGTTTCTGGTCTTTCCCAAAATGTGCTGCCATATATTTAATTATCATCTTGGAGCTGAGGAAAAAAAAAGGACACATTTTTGTTCATTCACTCATCTTTCAATCATTAATCCATTGTTTATTCAGCTGATGCTTCCTGCATAACTACTACATGCCATATAGCTCATCAGGATTCCTGACTCCCAGTCTTGAGCTAGGTAAGACTTTTAGATTTTAATTAGGTTGTACAGGACCATGTTAAACAATCCAGGTTGTAAGAGTAAAAAGTAAGGTCCACTCCCCTTATTCTTTATACTCTGTCCCTCAGAGCCTTTTCCAGATACAACCACTGTTGCCAGTGTCTTGTGCATGCCTCAAGCTAGTCCACACATGTGCAAGTACATACACATGCATGTGTATGTGTGGTGTGTTACCTTTCTTCCAAATGGTAGCATGTACTGTTTATCTTGATTTACTTCTTCTAAAACTATATGAGGGAGACAGTGCCATATCAGAGCATAGAGAGCTGTGCCAATCTCTCTAAATGGCCTATTAGCATTGCATTTTGTTTAACCTGCATTTAATTTTTAAACTACCTGCCTACTGATGGACATTTGGGTTGTTTTTTATTTTGCCTTTCATGTGTTTCCTTATCATCCAAGCCTTAACATTATTTTGGAGTAACAGGTTTTTGAGTCACACAAAGATTCCAGGAAGGAGTATTACTATTCCCATTTTGCAGATGAGGAGACTGAGATTCCTGAGACTTTGGTTGACCAAGGACTTGAACCCAGGTTCTCGGGCTCCTCCTACTCTGCCCAACAAGAGGCTGTCCACAATAACCCTAATGCTTCTGTCTGACTCTTAAGTACTGTGATCTGTGTTTCTGGTCTTTCCCAAAATGTGCTGCCATATATTTAATTATCATCTTGGAGCTGAGGAAAAAAAAAGGACACATTTTTGTTCATTCACTCATCTTTCAATCATTAATCCATTGTTTATTCAGCTGATGCTTCCTGCATAACTACTACATGCCATATAGCTCATCAGGATTCCTGACTCCCAGTCTTGAGCTAGGTAAGACTTTTAGATTTTAATTAGGTTGTACAGGACCATGTTAAACAATCCAGGTTGTAAGAGTAAAAAGTAAGGTCCACTCCCCTTATTCTTTATACTCTGTCCCTCAGAGCCTTTTCCAGATACAACCACTGTTGCCAGTGTCTTGTGCATGCCTCAAGCTAGTCCACACATGTGCAAGTACATACACATGCATGTGTATGTGTGGTGTGTTACCTTTCTTCCAAATGGTAGCATGTACTGTTTCTCTATCTTGATTTACTTCTTCTAAAACTATATGAGGGAGACAGTGCCATATCAGAGCATAGAGAGCTGTGCCAATCTCTCTAAATGGCCTATTAGCATTGCATTTTGTTTAACCTGCATTTAATTTTTAAACTACCTGCCTACTGATGGACATTTGGGTTGTTTTTTATTTTGCCTTTCATGTGTTTCCTTATCATCCAAGCCTTAACATTATTTTGGAGTAACAG